AAGTCTAGTCAGGCATGTAAAATGTTTGTTTTGCCCATGGTACAGAGAATAGTGTAGGAACCCGGTCTTTACACTTAATACGCAACTGTGGCTTGAAGATAGCACTAACACTAGACCCTAGTTGGATTCTCTTACTATGCTTATACTTCCTCTTGTTTGTATAAAGGTCTTTTAGAAACTTAGTACACTTAGGCATCTTTTTAATCAAATCAAGTAATGGCACAATAACCTCAAGTTTGCTAAACATTTCAAAAAGCTCTTCGTTATCTTTATTTTCAACAACTTTCTTACTCATAAGATAAGAATGAGGAAAAGGCAAGTCAGAAATGCTTACCTCTCCACCTTTAGAAGGTGATCCTTTCTCTATTGGCCCTTTGCATTGAATAGAGGTCTCTTGAGTAGCCTTGGGAATGTCTTGAGTGGTTTTAGAAGGAGGAGACTCAACTTCTATCTCTTCGTTAATCAGTTCTTCATCCTTTTCATCATCTTTGAATTGCACTTCCTTAGCACCAATTTTGTTGCCACTTCTTAATGTAATCGCATTCAAAGATTTATGATTTATCACTGTGTTAGAAGGCATTGAACCACTAGATTTAGCTTGCTATTAACTCATACCATTTGACAACTTAGTGACATAAGAAGTCAAATCAGAGGTTTTAGTTTCCCATCGCTCCATCTTTTTCTCTAGGGCTGCAAATCTAGCTTCAGACTTAGATATATGCTCAGTCATTACCTCAATGCCATTGAGTATTCGAGAGAACTGCTCATCATCCTTAGACTGTGGTTGCTGTGGGGTAGACATAGCTCTAGATATTCTCCTTGTAACCCTCCATAGTAAGATTGCCCTTAAGGAGCCATATTCCCTTGAAACCCTTCTTGAACTTGCCTATTATCACTTCTTCCCCATCAAAAATTTGGATCAGCTTTCCACCTTTCATTATATGTATTTGAGTATAGGTTCCATTGCTTAGATTGATTGGCCCTTCCTTGATACATGGTGGAAACTTCCTCATATCTATGAGGGCAAGTAGCAGAGATATGCATAATAGAGTTATAATGCTCACAACTAGGTGTAGTCATCTCCATAGAATTAGGATTCCGAGTGTTAACAGGGAGAGTGTGAGATGCAAGCTTATTCAACTGTGTAGTCAAAGTAGCAATTTGAGAAGTAAATGTGTCCAATTGAGGAATGTGGATTGAAAAAGGATTAGTATGCATTGCATTGACATTTTTAGACTCTCCTGATGTTATACTGTTGATGGTTCAAGGCCATTTTCTTAATAAGTTCCCATGCCTCTAGAAGTAGCATCCAACATCCCCTTGTCTTGGGTCTTCAGTCCATCATAAAAGTATTGGACTAACTGTTCATCTGGAATCTGATAGTGTGGACATCTAGAAAGCAAGTCTTGAAAACAGTTCCAGTAGTCATAAAGTAACTCATTATAGTCTTGCTTTGCAAAGTAGATCTCTTTTCTCAATGTGGAAGTCCAGGAAGCATGGAAATACTTCTCTAAGGATGCTTTTCTAAGGTTGTTCTAGTTATGGTAGGCATTTGTCATATGCCTAGGCAAGTTCATGTACCATTCTTGCACCTTGCCCTCCAGAGACAAATGGAATACCTTCCAAGGAACCTCATCTAGATTAGCCCTGATTGGTTTCATGCTAGAGCATACCAAAGAGAGAGATTTCAGATGATTGTACAGGTCCTCACCTGTCAAACCATAGAATTTAGGCAAAGAATTAAGCAGTGGACCTTTAATTTCAAAATTAACATCAACATTAAGGCATGTAACATTAAAAGGATCATAATTTGCATCAGAAGTAGTGGCTTCCCTAATGGTTCTTCTCCTAGGGTTACCTCCATTATTCTCTCCTCCTCTATCATGTTCCCCATTATGTCCATTACCCCCTCTATCATTACCACCATTGTTGTTACTGTAGCGATTGTTAACAGCTTCCATTATGTCACCTAAGTCAACCACCAAATCTAGACCAGCTGAATTGTCTATTTCAACCTCAGGATCACTAGATGCACTATATTCACTAGAGGACAAGTCAGACTCGTGTGAAAGATTTTCCTCTTCAATTATAATCTTACTAGTCCATTCTACCCCTTAGTCTTGTCTAACTTTCCTTAAAGAACTTTGGAGCTTAGGATTAGAAGGAACTAGGCTTTTAGATCTATCCTTTCTTAGCATAAACAATCAACCAACCAGAAACAAAGTGCAAAATTGACTTGCACAACAAGATTCAAGCAGAAATAGATAAATGCAAGTGTATATGTATGAGAATAAAAAAGAAAGGATCTAAATGAAAAGGGAAATGAAATGTACAATGAAAGAAAGGATCTGGATGCTTTTTTTTTTTTTTTTTAGTTTTCAATGCAATTATATGATGCTAAATGCTAAAATTATGCAATACTAACTAAAATGCAAATGAATAAAAAATCAAGATATTTAGTTGTATTTTTTTGGTGAAATTTTTTCTATTAAAATAAAAGAAATGTTATGAAAAAAAACAAATGCAAACTACTAAAAAAATGCAAAAAATAACAAAAATAAAAACTAAAAAGGCTCAACAAATGAACCCTAATTAAGGTTACTTGACACTTAATTACTAGGGAACCAACTTCTTGGTTTCCCGGCAATGGCGCCACTTGAAATAATACCCTTAATTTGTCACTTTGGGGCTACTCTGAAAATTAACCAAATTAATGTAATAAAGTGCACAATCCGGCTCGTATTCACTTTAAGGAGCCAAAAACAAAATTAAATCCTAGTAAATTAATGCAAGTAACCTATACTATAAAAAAAGATTTTTGATTTGATAATTGCTAATTAAACACCTTGAATTAAATTGAAATTAAAATAATTTTTTTATTTTTATATAAAAATGATTAAAATGAATGAAGATGAAAGAAATAGAAATGAAACACATGAATAATAATGATAATAATCAATTCTCCAATTCAACAACACAGGCAATCCTCATTCTAAAAGATATGGGAATTAAAACAATGAATTAAGAATTATAATTAAGCTTTTAAGCTAACAACTGAGCCACCTCGAATTGCCACAAAATATTTTCCTAAAATTCTAACTTACTAACTGTAATTAGAATAGTAAAACGGAATTAAGGATGCTAAAAACGAATGCTTAATTAAAACTCCTAAATCCAAAACAACAGAATTAAAGCTAGCAAGAGACATTACAATCCAAGATTCCAAACTACTTCAGAAAATCACAATATATTAACTCCAAAATCAATGCAAATATCATAATCTCCAAATATAATTAGATTTAACAATAAAAAATTTTCAATAATCAAAATAATTATTCTTAGATCTAGGAATTGTTAAATAACTATTGGATAGGAAATCATAGTAACTAAAACTCCCTTTTGATGATCCGAACTCCTGTCATTGTTGTTGAAATAGAGAATTATTAAGCTCTAGCTACAGTTTGCCATAAAAAAATGCTACAATTAATGCTCTGTTACAAGCTTCCATGGAAGAACATTGTTCCCGCTGAATTCTTCACGCCACTTGCACTCTATTTGCATCGAGAAGGAGAAGAAGAAGATGATGGATGGTGCATCGAGCCCCCCTGGTCGTCTTGTGTTCTCCCTTTGGTTTGCTGTTGCTAAATCTCTCTGCTCTGTCAAGCTAAAGTGTGTTCAGCGCCCACTCTGTTTTTTGTTTTTTTGCCAAACTCTTCTCCCTGTAGTATGCCTCCCTGGTCCTCTTTAATGGATACGATGATGATGAATATAATAATTTAGGGTAGGCAGTAAATAGACAGTTTGTTGATAGAACAGAGATGTATCTGTTAACCTAGCATAGACTAAATGGGTTTTGGTTTTCAAAGTGCAACCTTTTCAAACAAATGCTAGAGATTGCTGCTTTTTAATTGTGATTGCAAACACTTGGTTTTGACTTGAGAGAGCTTAATCAATTCTGTAAACCCCGGCTAACTGAAGTTATTGTTAAGCACTACTTGAGAAGTGATTAATCCAGTTTTATGAAGTATTTTAGTGAAGAATAACCCTAGTCTCTTAATTTTTTCAAAGTCAAGTTGATTTTATACTGCCTTAAATCATTGCTTTCCTAATTTCATTCCATAAACTCTTTTACAACATTTGTCTCACTTAACCTAATCAAGAACACGATTATGATTTTCAACTCATCTAGCCTTAGTCTCTAAGGGAACGATACTTTTTATATTACTTACGACCCGTCTGCTTGCGGTTAAGCCAATCGGAAAACAAGTTTTTGGCACTGTTGCCAGGGCCTAACGGCGAGATTGCTTGTGGTTGATTGTCCTCATTGTGTGATTGGTTACGCTTAAGTTTTTTTTAGTATTTGTAGTGATAGTTATAGGTAGTAATAGTAATATTTATTTAGTTTATTTCTCTTGATAAGTTTGATACTTTTGTTTTCGATTTGAATACGTAGGTAACCCCTGACACATGCAAGGAAGACTGGAAGTTATTTTGGAAGAAGTTACTGAAGAAGAATCTAGTTCAGGAGAAACTGAAAACACACTGGAGATTCAACAACAACCCCAGCTACTTCTACCACCACCACTTGAAACAGAACCACAAGAAAACATGGCGGAAGAAGATGAGAATGACGTGTACACTCTAAATGAGTATTTGGATAAAGAAAGGCAGACTTTTCATTCAAGTATCCAGCTATCAGACATTTAAGCCTGGAATTTTAAAATCAAGCCCATTATGATTCAACTACTAGGGATGATGGGTACTTTTGAAGGAAATTTTAATGATGATTCGAATGAGCATTTGACCAAGTTTATAGAGGTTTGTGAGAATTTCAAACAAAATGGGGTTACTAAAGATGCACTGCGATTGAGATTGTTCCCCATGTCGTTATCTCACAAGGCGAAAACGTGGTTGAATTCTTTACCAGAACACTCCATTAAGACTTGGGATGAGCTTGTATCTAAGTTCAAGGCTTGATTTATTCCAGGAGGCAAACGTGCTACATTAAGGGGTGAATTGCTTTCTTTTGAGCAGCATCTGGATGAGTTATTCTATGAGGCTTGGGAAAGATTCAAGGATATGTGGAGAAATTGCCCAAATCATGAGCAAAAGAAATATGTTCTAATAGAAGCCTTCTGGAATGGGTTGAGTGATCAGACAATGACAATGCTGAATACCGCTTCAAATGGATTGAATCGAAAAGATGAAGGTAAATGAGCTATATGAATTGTATGAAGAGGTGACATCTAGCACTATGCAATAATATAACAAGATAAGGCAAAGTTCTGGGAGATATAAGGAGCTTAACTCTTCATCATCAAGAGATATTACATCGCAACTTAAAGCGATATCTAAGAGATTTGACAATCTGGAATTGTAGATTAAGAAAGGAAATGCTACAGGAGTTCATGCACTTCAGGCTCCGGGATACACTTGTGACCACTGTAATGAGAAACATCATTTTGATTAGTGCCCATACACCTTGGATACAGTTAATTATATGAATAATGCGTAGCGAAGACTACAAGGGACCCCTTACTCTCAAACCTACAATCCAACTTTGAGAAATCACCGAAATTTCTCATAGCGAAATGGGCCAAGTTTGAATCCGCCACAAATATTACCATCGGGTGCTAAACAAATGAGGCCTCCTGGTTTTCATGGTCTACCACAACAGCATCAATTGCAATAGCAGCATCCTCAAAAGGAGGAATCCAAAATTAAGAAGATGTTTGCTCGGTTATTAGCAAATCAAGAATATGCAAGGGCTAAGAATAAGGCAACATTCTCTCTCCATGAAACTGCTATCAAGAATCTCGAGGTTCAAATGGGTCAACTGGCTTCACAAATGAATGTACTCACAAGAAACAGCCTTCCAAGTGATACCATTCCCAATCCAAAAAGGGATAGTAATGAAGAGTGCAAAGCTATCAGTTTGAGAAGTGGACAGCAACTACCTAACATTCTGAGGCCTAGTAACACCAACAAAGATATCACTAACATTGTGGTGATTGACCTTGATACAAATGAGCTTTCAGAAGAAGGGACTATAGTAGAAGAGGAAGAGACCAAGAAAAGGAAACAAACAAAAGAAAATCTCAATGACGTAGTTTGAGGGAAAAACGTAGAGGGTAAAATGGTTGATGATAAAAAGAGGAAGACAACTCCTTCTCCTTCTACACAGATGCTGCCACTTCCCTTTCCTTAAAGGTTTAGGAAGAAAGATGAAGATGTCCAGTTCAAGAAATTTGTGGACATGTTTAAGAAATTACACATCAACATCCTGTTTACTGAAGCATTAGAGCAGATGCCTAAGTATGCTAAGTTTCTCAAGGATGTTCTCTCCAAGAAGAAGAGATTTGGTGAATTTGAAACAGTAGCCCTTACTGAAGATTGTAGTGCCATCTTGCAGCAAAAACTCCCACCCAAATTGAGAGATCCAGGCATTTTTTATATTCTATGCAACATAAGCAAACACTTCAATGGAAAATTTCTATGTGATCTGGGAGCAAGTGTTAATTTGATGCCTCTAGCTGTTTTCAATTGATTAAACTTGGGTGAAGCAAGGCCAACAACTGTTACATTGCTCTTTGCTGACAGAAGTATCTCATATCCAAAAGGGATTATAGAAGATGTCTTGGTGAAGGTAGATAAGTTCATATTTCTAGCTGGTTTTATTGTGTTAGACTGTGAGGTAAATTGGAACATCCCTATTATTTTGGGACGGCCATTCTTAGCTACCGCAAGAACCCTCATTGACGTAGAAAAGGTTGAGATCACCATGCGAGTAAATGATGAGAAGGTGATATTCAACATGAATCAAGCCTTGAAGTTTCCAGATGATTCTGTTCATTGTAATTTTATTGATGTGATTGACTCTGCAGTGAAAGAGGAGTTGGTTAACTCTTTGACCAGAGATCCCATGAAAGTATTATTGATTGGAGAAACAAGTAGTATTGATGGCAAGGTTGAAGCGTATGCAGAAATGATGAATGTTGAAATAATTCCTTATCGGAGAGCTAAGACTTTTGAGCTCTTGATGTGACTAGTACTTTAAGCTCTCAACTAAAGCCTTCTGTTGATGAACCACCAGTGTTGGAGTTGAAGACTTTACCTTCACATCTCAAGTATGCCTACTTGGGTAGTTCTACTATATTTCCTGTGATTGTTTCTTCTCAGTTGTCCATATTGCAATAGGAGAAACTGTTAAGGGTCTTGAGAAACCACAAGAAAGCTATTGGGTGGTCCATAGCTGACATCAAAGGGATCAGCTCTTTATTGTGCGTGCATAAGATTTTATTAGAGGATGGTCACAAACCTTCTATTGAGCATTAAAGGAGATTAAGCTCGGTTATGAAAGAGGTAGTCAAGAAAGAGATCCTTAAATGGCTTTCTACTGGCATAGTATACCCTCTTCCTGATAGCTCATGGGTAAGCCTAATTCAATGCGTCCCTAAAAGAGGTGGTATAACTGTAGTAGCTAACACCCGGAATGAGCTAGTTCCAACTCGTACTGTGACTGGGTGGAGAATTTGCATGGCCTATCGAAAGTTAAATGTAGTAACCAAAAAAGACCATTTCCCGTTGCCATTTATTGATAAGATGTTGGATAAACTTGCTGGGCAAGAATTCTTCTGTTTCTTGGATGGATATTCAGGATATGACCAAATTGTAATAGTCCCAAATGATCAGGAGAAAACAACCTTTACTTGTCCGTATGGCACGTTTGCTTTCAAAAGAATGCCATTTGGTCTTTGCAATGCTCCAGCAACATTCCAAAGGTGCATGATGGCCATCTTTACTGACATGATAGAGAAAACAATTGGAGTGTTCATGGATGACTTCTCCGTTTTTGGAGATTCTTTTGATTGCTGCTTAGATAATTTGGCGGCTGTTTTGCAAAGATGTGAAGAAACTAACTTGGTTCTGAATTGGGGAAAATGTCACTTCATGGTGCAAGAGGGCATTGTCCTAGGTCATCGAGTATCCAAACAGGGCCTACAAGTTGACAAGGCAAAGGTATCTGTTATTGAGTGCCTCCACCAACAAGTGTTAAGGGTATTAGAAGTTTCTTAGGTCATGTGGGATTCTACCATCGTTTCATTAAATATTTTTCTAAACTCACTAAGCCTTTGTGTAATTTGTTGGAGAAAGATAGGGAGTTTAAGTTCAATGACGCTTGTATGAACTCTTTTAAGGAGTTGAAGAAGAAACTTACATCAGCACCAATTTTAGTGGCACCTAATTGGGAGCTACCCTTCATCATTATGGTAGATGCTAGTGATTTCCCTGCTGGAGCAGTGCTGGCACAAAAAGCAAAAAAGGTCTTCCATCCCATCTACTATGCAAGTAAAACCCTGGATGATGCCCAACTTAACTACACTACTACAGAGAAAGAATTGCTGGCAGTGGTGTTTGCTTGTGAGAAATTCCGCTCTTATATTGTAGGCACTAAAGTGACTATCTATACAGACCATTCTGCCCTAAAGTACCTGTTTACCAAGAAAGATTCCAAAGCACGCCTGATTCACTGGGTCCTTTTGCTTCAAGAATTTGACTTGGAAATTGTTGATAGGAAAGGCACTAAAAACCAAGTGGCAGACTATCTATCTCGATTAAGTAATGAAGCTCAACATGATCATTGCCAAGAGATCAATGCAGCTTTTCCTGATGAATGCTTGTTCTTTGTGGATGATATGCAGATCTAGTTAACTATCTGGTTTGTGAAACTCTACCATTAGACCTTAACTCCCACTAAAAGAGAAAATTTCTTCATGATGCGAAGATGTACTTTTGGGAAGAACCTTACTTGTTTAAAAGATGTGCCGATCAGATGATAAGAAGATGTGTTCTGGAAGTTGAGTAGCAAGATATTATAGAGTGTTGCCACTCTTCTGCCTATGGCGGGCACTTTGGAGCAGAGAAAACTGCAGCCAAAGTCCTTCAAAGTGGTTTCTATTGGCCTTTACTGTTTAAAGATGCATATGCCTTTGTGATCCGATGTGATCAGTGTCAACGAGTGGGAAACATATCAAGAAGGAATGAAATGCCTCTGAATAATATTCTAGAAGTTGAACTCTTTGATGTATGGGTGAAGAGAGCCTTTTTTTATATCGTTCGCTTTGGGGTTCTCACTCAAAATTTAATCCAAGCTATACAGTATAATGCAAACTCGGGTCGTCTTTTGGGAGCCTTAATTAATTACCTAAGTTAGACTAAATGCTATGCAAAGTAATGAAAAGGGGGGTTTTTGGGTTTTTAACATTTAATGAAATGTGCCAAAACTAAATGAAATGAAAACAAATCTAAGATACTATGTTTTTGGAGTTTTTAAGATAATAGTGATGTAATGGAAGTGATTGATAGGAAATCTCTTGAAAATGGTTTTGTTGGCAATCATGGTTCACTTAAAATACTGGGAGTTTTAAAAATCCATTAGGTTTTCTTAAAAAGAACCTCATTAATTCAATGAGTCCAAAGCTTACATTAATGAACTCATTAATGTAAACTTTGTTTAGCTCCCCTAATATGTAAATTTGGAATGATCATGCAATTGGCTTAATATAACACACAATCAACTCAGTACCCAAACACAACCATGCAAGATATGAGAGAATCATGAGAGATACAATAAGCATATATGCAACTACATATATTTAAACTCATAGTTCAACATTAATCAATTCAAAATACAAATGCTAATCAGTAACCACTGATTACAGAATTAATCAAAACATCTAACTAAGACTTTACAACTCCTAAACCTAAGAAATCATAAATACCTAGCTAAAAACTAAAGATTAAAACTAAAACTCCCCTTTGAAGCTTAGGAACTCATGCTACTCCACTATCTTCAAGAGTTGAGAAGTTAGCTCATCATAGCCTTGGAATCAGCTCCAACCAGAGGGAGATCTTCAGCCATAACAGTAGTAGATAAAGGAAATGAAAATGGATGAAGAAGAGGTGCAGGAAAATGGAAGGTGAAGAAGATGGAGATGGAGGATTAGGGTTTTTGAGGGAGAGATGAGAGAAGATGATTATAGAAACGTAAGTGGAGGCTGAATAATAAGAGTCTGACCTCACCATACCCAAAATAGGGTTTCTAACC